TCACTGGCCAGCGCTGTGCTGTGAGCCCCCCACGCCCTGTGGGTACCGAGTCCCTCCCGTAACAAACACACGGGGCCGCTAGTACCCACTGTGCAGACTGCTCCTGTTAGAAAACTTACAGGTTTTCTTTCATTACTTTATTTTTTTTTTCCAAAAGAAGTAAATGTTCACTGAAGAAACAGATTTCAATATATTGTCAACTAGAAAGTGAAAAGGAAAATATGCCAACCCCTGGCCTCATTTCCCAGACGTAAGTCATTTTCCTCAGCATCATGGAGTTTCACCTTGTGGACCCTTTTCTCTGGACATTCCGTTGGTCAGTCACTATCAGCAGAGGTTTTTTTTAATGTTTATTTATTTATTTTGAGAGAGAGAGAGAGAGAGAGAGAGAGAGAGAGCATGACCAGGGGAGGGGCAGAGAGAGAGAGAGGGAGAGAGAGAAAGAATCCCAAGCAGGCATTGTGCTACCAGCACAGAGCCGGACACAGGGCTCGAACCCACAAGCTGTGAGATCACGATCTGAGCTGAAATCAAGAGTCGGACGCTTAACCGACTCAGCCACCCAGGCGCCCCTCTGCAGATATTAACCGAGCATCTAGTCTGTGCTAAGCGCTATATCAAGAGCTGGGGGTGAATAGTATGGAAGGGAGGAATAGATGGTATGGAGTAGATGGAAGGGAGGTCCATCTAAACAATAAATGTGTATGTAACATGACAAACATATATGTATTACATGTGTAGGTTTTTCCTATTACAAAATAGACTACTATAAGTATTTAATATTCATCTAGTTTAGGAAAGTTGAAAAAATGCCCAAAATAGAAGGAAAAACCCTTGTTTTAGATTCATGATCCAAAGAGGGTTGCCTTTTATAGCCTTGTATAATATACCTTGCTGTTGTTTATTTAAATGTAGTTTTATTTTATTTTACAAAGTCATCATTATACTGAAAGCATAGTTTTTCCTGCTTTTTTATTGCCCAAGTCATGCGAATAGAAAGCATAAAAGCCAAGTCCCTTGTAAATCTACTACAGAATTAACCACTGCTAACCTTTAACTTAGAAGTCTGAGAGCTCACTGAATAGGTTACTTAGTAACTGACTCTGATCCCATATTTTTGCATTGATAATTGTAATTCTACACCATCATTTTAAAAAATGTTATTTATTTATTTTGAGAGAGAGAGAGAATGAGTAGGGAAGGGGCAGAGAGAGAGGGAAAAAGAATCCCAAGCAGGCTCCGTGTCTAGTACAGAGCCTGATGCAGGACTAGATCTCCCGAACTGTGAGATCATGACCTGAGCTGAAATCAAGAGTCAGACCCTTAACTGACTGAGCCACCCAGGCACCCCCAAACCATCATTTTTTTAATGATTTTATTTTTTTTAATAATCTCTATACCCAGAGTGAGGCTCGAACTCATAACCCCAAAATCAAGGGTCGCATTCTCCACTGACTGAGCCAGCCAGGCCCCTCTAGATCATCATTTTTAGTGGCTGTAGACTTGATCATCATGTGATTTCACCATCACGGGATCAATCGGTCTCCTTCTCCTGGGCATTAGACGAGTTCTGATTTTTCATTTTTATAAGAACCCTTGAGTGATGAAAGTAACATGTTCACTCATATTCTTAGTTATCTGAGTATGATTTTACATCATTTTATTTACTCATAGTTTAACTGTTTTATTCACTCATAGTGCAGTTCCCTTTGACGGGATTCTATGAGATTATTATTGTGTTCTTATACTTTTTCGTTTTCCTTAAATGTTTTGCAATGAACAGATTTTATTTGCATCATCACAATATCATTTAAAACTATGCCACGTTGGGGCGCCTGGGTGGCTTAGTCGGTTAAGCGTCCGACTTTCGCTTAGGTCATGATCTCACGGTTCGTGGGTTCGAGCCCCGCGTCGGGCTCTGTGCTGACAGCCAGCTCAGAGCCTGAAGCCTATTTCAGAGTCTGTGTCTCCCTCTCTCTGTGACCCTCCCCTGCTCACGCTGTCTCTCTCTCTCTCTCTCTCTCTCTCCTAGAAATAAATAAAAATATAAAAAAAAAACAAAAACAAAAAAACTATGCCACGCAAAAATGACCAGATTACCAGTTTTCTTGGCAATGGCTTTTCATGCCTCCCCATAACTCCATGTAGGAGACAGGCCGTAATTCACTTAACCATCCCTTTCATTGGCTGTTTGGGTTTTCCCCCAACCTTTTCAAGCTCGTCAGGTGGGAACCCCACACCATGTCTGGGGTTACGTCCTGATGGAACAGCCCCACAAAGGCTGGGGAACAGCTTTCACACCTCTGGTACTTCCTGCCTGACTGCTTCCCAGAGAGGATGCTCCAATTTCCACCCCCACCAGCAGCGTGCGAGAAGGCCTGCTCGGCCGCCCTCCCCTTCCCGAGGCGACTCAGGCCCCTGGCCGGTGGACCTCCCTGCCAGGAGGGCAGCAGAGAGCCAGAAATGGTTTTGTCCGCGATGCCGGCCTCGTGACCCCCAGCCCAGAACCGCAGGGGTGATTTTTAACAAGCCCAGTTCCCAGAACAGAACCTGCAGAGAAAAAGAAAAGCAAGCAAGCGAGAAAAAACCCTCTCTGCTGGAAAAAACACACACATACACAGATTAAAATAATATTTGGCACTTACGTCGCACTTTTAAAATTCTTCAAACGCTTTATAAACACTAGCTAATTAATTAAGCTGCCTAAATCTGGCTGCAGTTGGTAGAGAGCTCAAGAGAAGCTAAAAAAAAAAAAAAAAAAAGAGTAGAGGGGAGGGCCCAGCCCTACCCAACTCCAGATTTTATTGTCGCCTGCCCAGGGTGTGATTACAGGCCTCCGGCTGCACCCCAGGAATAGCCCTGCTCCAACACGTTGTGCGCCTGATGCTACAGCCCGTCTCTGCTCGCGTCGCTCCCCTCCCCAGCTGCTGACTCACAGCCCTGCGCGGTGTTATTGATAAGGATAATAATAACTGGCATCTATTCTGTGCGCCCGGGGCGCGGTCCCAGGCCCCTGGCTCGCTCGCCCCGGCTCCTGGCTATGCCCATAGCAGCTCCGTTTGACACACGAGCGAGTGAAATCCCGCCTTCCTTCACAGGTGTATTCATTCGACGTGCAGTTATCCGGGCCCCCCGTGCGTGCCGGATGTTGTTCCCAGGGGTTGCAAACAGCTCCTTGAGGATGTGACATCCTGGCTGGGGGTAGGGGGACCCCACGACCAAGTAGGTAAATGTTATGTCAGTGGTGATGATGGGAACAGAACCAGAGTTTACCTGGCACCTACGAGGCTGCACTCACGTCCCGCTGGGCCCCGGTCCTGGTGACCGGCCTAGGGGTGGACGCGGTACCCCACCCTGTGTGTCCCCCCCAACCCGCGTTTCCAGCTCCTCCAGCGCCCCCTGCTGGATCGCAGACCCGTTGGCGGTGTTCCTGGCCGCGTGCTGCTCCTGCCTGGGATGCCTGGGACGGGTCGGGGCTGCTGGCCGCCTCTGGGGGCCTCTCTGAGTGCCCGTCACGCACCTGGCCGCCAGCTCCGCCCGAGCCCCTGCCCCCTGTGGACTCTAGTTTCCTGCCTGCACAGTGCGGGGCAGGCCGCCCTCCGGCTGCTGCTCTCAATCTCTGGCACCTGCTGGGAGAACCGGGTGACCCCTAGCCGGGAGTCAGGGCTGGGACGATGGGCCCAGGGGGCTGAGAGGCCTGTGCAGAGGCCCTGGACTCACAAAAGGGCGAGGGCAGCCTGGAGTCCATGGGCCTCCCTGCTTTGGGTGCCGCGCCCCTGCCGGAGGGTGGTGCCAGGCCACGGCGGGTGGGCGGACCCTCAGGTCTCTCTCCTGCCCAGCCAGAGCTGAAGGGGCTGCTCAGGGCATCGGCTGCACCTTGTCTGGGGTACAAGGCAAAGAAGTGGCCTAGGACAGGTGTCAGGATGGGGCAAGGTCACACCGCAGGTCGGCGAGTGACCCGGAGACACGTGGCCCCTCGGCACCTACACCAGGCTGCCACCACTCCGTGTCTGCATTTCTTGTTCTCTCCTCCCCCTCTCTGGCTCCCTCTCTCACTGTCCCTGGCCCTGTCTCTCTTCTTTGGCCTGTATCTCTGTCCTTCCTCTCTGTCTCCCCATCTCTGTGTTTCTCCAAGGGCTTATTATGGGTCCTCTCTCTTCCACCCCCACCTTGCTCCATACCAGGCCCAGGCTGTGACCTGAGTGTCTCAGCGACTTCTCTTGCCATTTCACAATGCCTGGTACCTTCCAGGCTGTGTCTCCCCCACCCCCCACCGTGTCTTCTGCCCAGAGTCTCTGTCCTCTGCCCCACTGCTCTCCAGTTTTGAAATGTATTTAGTTATTGTGAAAGAGAGAGAGAATGAGAGCAGGAGAGGGGCAGAGAGAGGGGAGGAGAGAGAGAATCCCAAGCAGACTCCGCACTGTCAGCATAGAGCCCGACGCAGGGCTCAGACTCACAGACGGTGAGATTGGGGACCCGAGCCAAAACCTAGAGTCAGGGACTCAACCAACTGAGCCACCCAGGTGCCCTGCTCTCCAGTTTAGGGCTCAGGCCTCTCCCCTCCACTGACCCCTCGGAAGCCTTCCAGCTCCCCAGCCCGGGAGCCCTTGAGGCCTGATGTGCGTCCAACCTCTGAGTGTCCCCAGCATCCAGCACGGGCTGCTGGGAGACACGTCAGCAGGGGTGGGAGCTGAGTTCGCACAACAGACCCTCACTCACTCATCTGTCGTGGAATGACGGACAGTAGCTTCCTGTGCCCCGTGCGGTGCTAAGTCACGTCTATGTGTCGTCCCGTTTTCTTTTCCAAACAGAGCGGAGGGTGAGGGGATGCCCCACCCATCTTGTAGATTCAGAAATTGAGACACAAAACCAGTGGGTAAACTGGGTCACATGTGAATAATGTGTGTGCACTGGTCAGCAAAAGCTGTGGTGGATAAACACTTGAGAAGACAGACGAGATCACACAAGGATGAGAAACATCTGCTTTGTGTTCCCTCCAGGTGTGGCAGGTGATGCGGAGCTGCAGGTGATCCAGCCTGAGAGGTCGGTGTCTGTGGCAGCCGGAGAGACGGCCACTCTGCGCTGCAGTGTGACCTCCCTGCACCCCATCGGGAAGGTGGAGTGGTTCAGGGGGACAGGGCCAGACCAGGAGTTAATCTTCAGTTTCAGAGGAGGACACTTCCCCCGAGTAACAACTGTTGCAGACGCCACAAGGAGAAACAACACGGACTTCTCCATCCGCATCAGCAACATCACCCCGGCAGACACGGGAACCTACTACTGTGTGAAGTTCCAGAAAGGGACCCCTGATGTGGAGTTTAAGTCTGGACCAGGCACCCAGGTCACCGTGAGTGGTGAGTGTGGCATGGGCCTCCTTTGTCTCCTGGATGTGACAAGTCAATAAGAATGCCCTCCACTGTCTGAGCAACAGCCAACAATCAGGGCTGTGGTGGGTGTCCCTGAATCAGCCTGTTCCACGGATCAGGGAAGTTGAGGCCTGGAGAGGCTCTGCTATTTGCTCAAGGCCCCACGGCTGGAAAACAGTGGGAAAATCTAGAACTCCAGTATGTGGGCTCCCGAGTTCTTCCCTTTTCCAAACCTGACCACCCGGCTGGTTCCAGAATGAGGGACTGAAAGTCTGAGAGACTCGCTCAGTCACAAGGCCTCACATCACCCCTGCCCCCAGACAGCACTCACATCGATGTGGTCAGGGTTCCCTTTACTCAGCACTTATTAAGCACCTGCTGTGTGCATTCTCTGCTCTGGGCGTTGTGGGAGTAGCAGGGAACAAACAGGCAAGGCCTCCTCTCTCCTGAAGCTTCCATTCTCCTCCCCCTGTGAGGACAAGCACCTGCGCAGGGAGGGGAGAATGAGTTTCTTTGTTTCATTCTCAGGACCCACTGAAATTGTCCAGAATGGGGGTCGCCGCCTTGAAGCAGAAGTTGACCCTTGAGGGTTTTCTGCCTGAGGCCTAGGATCCAAAATCCTGGGAGGTCCGCACATGAGGGGCCCAGCCCGCCCCGTCCCCCCATGTACAGATTCAGAGCCCGAGGTCACAAGATGACAGGGGCTTGCTCACGTGTCCAGTGAATAAGATCATTCCAGAACCCATCTGATTCCAGGCAGGCTCTTTCCTGCATCAGCTTTGGATTGTTTCCATGGAAGGGCCGAGCGCATAGTAGGTGCTGCACAAAACCGAGTTACGCGGAAGCTTTGAACAGTGAGCCCACATTTTTCCTTCTCATCGTTTTCCCAAAGGTTCAGAAATGCTGCAACCCTCGCCTTGAAAATCGTGTGTTCTGTTCTTCAGCAGTAAGTGTTAACAAAAACAGGTCCTTGAGGAGGCGGGGCCAGCATTACACCCCAGATCAGACAGACAGACAAACATCTCAGGAAGTATGGAGCCTGTTCGTGGAGGACACGGCTCCATGCACAGAAGAGCATCCGGAGTCTTTCCCTGTCATGGGATGTTGCTCCTTCACTGAGCACCTGGTGGGGGGGGTGCTGGGCAGACCAGAGGGGCCCCCACAACCCCAGCCACACCACCCAGGCACCCTGTTCCTGGCTCTGCAGACAGGATGACAGGGAAGCCATTCACAGAGAGCGTCTGGAGCCCCGTGAGCAAGGGTTCATTCTCTAGACTCAGCCGTCCGGGCTCCACGCCCCCTCTGTTGCTACAGGGTCCACAGCCCTGGGCAGCACTTACAGGGTCTCTGCTGTTGGTTCCAGAAGGTGGAGTATTTGCTCTGATGTGACGAGAAGGCTGGAGGCCCCCACAAGCCCCCCTGGGATGCGCTGGGCGGTGAGGAGCAGCCCCTTGTTTCTCTCTGCCTCAGTCTCCTCATCTGTAAAATGGTGATACTCGGACTCCTTTTAAGAGAGCTGGAGGAGTTGAGGTGCTCTGTGTCACCTGGCACGGAGGAGGTAGTCCCAAATCAGAGGTTCCTTCAAGGCTGTGACCCGGCCCCCTTTGCTGGGCTCCGTTTCCTCACCTGTAGAACGTGGATCATCACACCAGCCTTGAAGGGGGGACACAGTGAGCCGTGTGAGAGGACAGACCTTCAGTGAGCCCTGAGTGCCCCTTCCAGAACTGTCTGATCCTGGGCTAGTCTCAGTGTCCCTCAGGTGCTCTGTGTCCCATCTGTGCTGTGGCGATAATCGGGCTGCTGGTCAGGGGTCTGAGGATTGCAGAGGAGGTCCAGAAAGCCCCGGATGTGGGGGTTAGGTGATTCTTGGGTATCCACACACAGCGGCTCAGAGCGTGGCCGAACCCCACTGCCTGGGGACCCACCCAGCTCTGCCTTCCCAGCTGTGACCTCTGATGAGTCATCCCCACGTTGGGCCCGGCGTCCTCATCTGTCTGTGACGGCGCAACCCCGCAGAGCTGCTGCAGGGACTGAGTAAGCAAATGCACTGGAGGTGCTGCTAACAGCAGAGCCTGGCATACGGTCAGTGTCCCGTGAATGTTGCTATTATGGGACCTTGGCTGGGTCCCTGTTCTTTTCAGGCCTGGAGCAGAAGTGGGGTTTGGGGGTGGTGTGGGGTGCCTTCCAACCTGGGCTGCTCTTTAGGATCAGCTGGGAAACGCCAAGAAAGCTCCCCAGACCCTGACTGCACCCCAGAAATGCTGCCTTCATTGGTCAGATGTGAGCCAGGGCAGGTGAATTATTTAACGACTAAGGGGATGTTCATGGATGCAGAGGAAACCTAGAATTTCTTCTCCACCTGACGAAGGCAGCACCCTGTGCTGCTGGGGCTGTGAGAGGAGCTTCTCAGTGGGTGGGTGCCTCAGAAATGCCCATGCCCGTGCCAGCTCCTCGGAAAATGAGCCTGAATGGAGTGGCCAGGACACCCTCTGGAGGAACATGCCTGAGGTGGAGTTGCTTCCTTCCCTCCGGCCCAAAGAGGAGCGGCCGACACCCTGCTCAGATCTGGGGGACCCTCCCATCTTTAAGCACACATGTGTCTGAACAGGTGCAGGAATCCCCTCAAAGCCTCGCGGCTCAGCCCCAGAGCCCTCTCTGCCTCAACATACCCAAATGTCACGGACAAAATCTGTCCTTCCCTTTGCAAAAACGCTTCCAGCTTTCTGTAAATAGCTAATCTGCAGGAAGACGCCTATGATCTCGTTTGTGTTTTGAAAGCCAATTCGCCAAACTTGTTTCCTGAGGGGATTATTAAAAGGAGAGGGAGAGAAATCATCACTGGTTGGTTTCTGCTGCTTTTCTCGTTTGGGGTTTTGCATGGAAGCTGCAGGGAGCGGGCTTTGGGACTTTCCCTGTGTTTCTGCTCGGCTTTCTTTCTGCTCTCTTACTGCCTACCAAATAAGCAGTTTCAGAAGCAGTCACGACCAGATCACACGATACTAATCACAGGTGTTATTTATTAAGCACCCACTGTATTCCAGGTTCTGTGCATGACATATGTCCTCACATGTTACCAAGGTGGTATCTTGATACGCGTTGTACGCAAACAGACACGGAGATGTAGGAAGAAAGAACAGAGGCTAAAATTAATCATTCGGGTGTGCAGGGACATGAGCCTTTATTTGCTGTGTGCCCTGGGCCAGCTGTGTTCCTCCCTCCCCGTCCCATAAATGGATCACACTGGGGCCTCCCCTCAAAGGGCTGGTGGATGGATTGAGGAGCTGAGGGGAGGAAATCAGCCCCTTGTCAGGTGTCCAAAATGCTGTCTGCAAATGGTAACTGATCACCGTGTCCCTCTAGGGGACTGCTGGTGTTCTCCGGTCTTATTCAAGTGACACTTCCTTTCTGTGTCCCCAAAACGTTCGATGAGTTTTAGTTTTAGAAAGCAAGTTAAATATTTACAAATGTAAATATTTGTAATATTTCCTCTGTTTGTTACAGAAGGTATTAGGCAATAATTAACAATTTGGAGACAGCCTACAGAATCTTCTACGGGTGAAAGTCCCTCCCTTTTGAGTCACTGATGTGTGTGCGTCCAGGACCCAGGAGGGCTTCCGCCTGCTCCAGAGGCCACTATCTCTGTCCTTGGATTTATTTCACAATTGAAAAATTAGCCACCTTTGGCTTTCTCAGCACTCAGTGATCTTGGTTTTCAACCCAACACTGACCCAAAAGAAGAACGCAGATTCAGAAAAACAGCCCCTCATCCCTTCCCTCTCAGATTCAGGGATTGCAGGTTAGACCCTATGGAGTATTTGTAGAAAGAGTGAAAAGTAGAGTAAATTCACAACTACTTGAAGGGAGAGCTCCAGGTGTAAATTAAGTTTGGGATGAAGATAGATCTGAGTTTGTGTGGTTCTGGAGAAGCATTTTCAGTGGTAAATTCAAAGCAAAACTGCCTGCATTGCCTCATGTGCCCCCCACTGCCACCCGGGGAAGGAGAAAGGCCTGCTGTCCCATCTCACAGGGGGCGCTGGGCAGGGCCATGTCCCCGCCTCCAGCCGGCTGGACACCTGGTTCCAGCTCTCATGGGGGTCCCGCTCCCCCCCTGCCCCCACCCCTGCACTGACTGCTGCACACGCTCTCTGAAGTCAGTAACGTGTCCAGAGAGGCAGCTCAGAACGGTGGAGACCAAGAGTAACACCCACCAGAAATGTCCTTCCTATGCCCACATGGGTGGGAAGTCCCCTGGCAGGGACAATGGGGACCTGGAACTCAGGCTGGAATTGCACGTGGGCCCTGCCCCCGACTCCGAGTCAATCTCTGACCCCGCCCTCCCAGCACTATCAGAAGGGCTGAAAAAGAATCCGTGTGACTTTCTGCACAGTGTCACACACCTGTCGTTGGGGACGATGACCACGGTCGTGCTTACTCTTCATAAATGCTCCTCTTGTAGCCAAACCCTCTCCCCCCGTGGTGTTGGGCCCCACGGCCAGGGTCGCGCCCCAGCAGCCAGTGAACTTCACCTGCGAGTCCCACGGCTTCTCCCCCAGAAACGTCACCCTGAAATGGTTCAAAAACGGGAACGAGCTGCCAGCCTCCCGGACCACCGTGGACCCAGAGGGAGACAGCGCTTCCTACAGCGTCTCCAGCAGCGCCACGCTGGTGCTGGCCCCGGGGGACGTCCGCTCCCAGCTCATCTGCGAGGTGGTCCACGATACTCTGCAGGGGGGCCCTCCTCTTCGTGGGACGGCCAACCTGTCCGACACCCTGCGAGGTATTTGCCCGTCACCCCCAGCCCAAGCCCACGCCGGGCCCCCAAGCCTCCCAGCCTGCCCCTCCCCCACTCTGTGCTCCCAGCCTTCCACCCCCTGGATCCTGACTCCTGACAGACCCTCCCCATCACCGGGCACCCAGAGTCACAGTCACTTCTACTGTTTTATATGGTAGAATCCAGGTGAACCCCTACCACGTGCCAAGCACTGTGCTAGGTAGTTTCATTTATTTTCCCGTAGCCGTTCCATTGTTGAGCACCTACTGTAATCCAACCAGTGTGAGCTTGGTGATTTCATGTATTTTGCTAGTTATTCTATTCCAACTGCATGCCAGGGACCCTGTATCTGGATTTCACTCATTATTACCTTAATGGGAGCTACTAGTCCTTGAGCACCTACTGTGTACTGGGCAGTGTGCTTAGGGATTTCATTCCCATGCAAACACTACCCTCACTGTTTGAGTACCTGCTGCATGCCTAGCACTGTTCTGGGTAACTCCCTTGCTGTATGGGGGGAACTAAGATCTCGAGCCCCTTCCCTGTGACGTGTCTGTTTCATGAGGTCAGAGCTTCTGCTCTGTGCTGTTTCAGTTCCACCCACCGTGGAGGTTGCCCAGCAACAACCCGCGACAGGGGACCAGGTGAAGGTCACTTGCCAAGTGAAGAAGTTCTACCCCCAGCGCCTCCAGCTGACCTGGTTGGAGAATGGAAATGTGTCACGAACAGAAACGGCCTCCTTGGCCTTGAACCTCATAGAGAACAAGGATGGGACCTTTAACTGGACGAGCTGGCTCCTGGTGAACGTATCCGCCCACACGGAAAATGTGGTTCTCACCTGCCAGGTGCAGCATGACGGGCAGCCCGCGGTCACCAAAAACCATACCCTCGTGGTCTCTGCCCAGCAGAAGGACCAGGAAACACTTACAACCCAGGGTGAGGCCAACCTGCCAAGTGACCTGGCGCTGTAAATGTTATCTTTTCTTTTTTACCGTTAAAAGTAGTCATTCACGTTTGTTATGGGATCACTGAGAAGTCTAGAGATAGGATGTAGAATTTTCGAGTGAGCGCCCCTCCCCTGTAGCCCACACTCCCAGGAGTGACCACTGGTAAGCATCTGGTACCTGTCTCTGTAGGTCTTTTGACATAAACGTGCATTAGAGGAAGTTGGGAGGGAGGGCGATAGGAGTGTCCCTCGCTTCCTGCCTCCTGTGCCTTCACCTGCCAGAGATTAATTCGCCACGCCAGGCCAGCCGCCTCCCTCTCCTGCCCTTCCCCGCCTGGCCTTGATCTCCCTGGCTGCCTTCACAAGCCTGCACCCCAGAATCTTTGCCGCTTATCTCAAGTATAATCACTGCTGTAGTGAATGCCCTTGCACCTGCTCTGTGATGCGTGCAGCTGTTTCTGGGGGGTGATTTCCCAAAGAGCATTTCTAGGCCAAAGTCCATATGCCCATGTAGGAAGTCTACTCCGTGTTAGAGTGAAAGGTGGCGGGGTTTCCTGTTTTCAGCCCCTCCCAACCCACTGTCGAGGTATCTCTCTTCTGTCTTCAAAACAGCAGCACCTAGGTGGCCTCCTGGTGCCACTATGGCATGTTCTGTCACTTGCCCATTAGCCCGGCTCTGCGTTGTACACGGCTGACCTTTTGAATGGATTACGATAGAGACCATTTCCTTCCTCGCTGCCTCCTGTAAGGGAACAGGGAAGCCCTAGGAGCTGCGGGGCCCTCCGAGGTGTCCCGTTGATGTTACTGATGCCTGGTTTTCATAGGATGGGCACTATCCTAGGAGCAGGGACACGTGGATTTCGACTCTGCCTCTGTCGCGAACGTGCTGGGTGACCTCGGACAGTCAGTGCCTCTCGATGGGCCTCTTTGCTTGCTTTACGGCAGTAGGCAAGAGAATGAACTTGACCCTTCAGCTTGGAGACCAGCCGTGAGGGACCATGGCTGTCTTGGTTCAGCGTCCCAGCTTTAGGACTGGCACACACCCAGGCACATAGTAGACAGTCAGGAAAGGCTTTTAGAACAAATGAAAAGAGTGAGTTTGTTGGTGGATTGTTCATAGGAAGTACTCCTCAGAGCTGTTCAATGAGCTAGAGATTATTATTGGCCTCAATAACCCAAGACAGCGTGAGCAGGGGAGGGTCAGAGAGAGAGGGAGTCACAGACTGAAACAGGCTCCAGGCTCTGAGCTGGCAGTCAGCACAGAGCCCGACGCGGGGCTCGAACCCACGAACCGCAAGATCATGACCTAAGCGAAAGTCGGACACTTAACCAACTAAGCCACCCAGGTGCCCCTGAACCCAAGTTTCTGCGACCCAGAGCCCTGCTCCTGACTACCCACAGTGCTCTAGTGCAGGATCCTCTGCACGTGCCCTGGCACCAGCCCTGCCCACCCAGTCTCCCTTACAGATGTCCTAGGTGCAGAGATCCTGTGTCCAGGTCCCGGGCACAGATAAGTAGACTGCTTCTGAGGGCTCTGCGGAGTCTGATAGCCAGCTGCGCGTCTGCCATTTGTCACCATCTGCCCCCAGCCTGTGTGTGATGGCCAGTTGTGATTTGGGGTTTCACGACGGCCATGGTGGCCACCGTGTGGTTCCTTCCAGATGAGAAGGAACATGTTTCTGTCCCTTGGGAGTGAGATTCCTGCCCACATCCTGAAGCCAGGGCTCCCAGACAGCTTTCAGCCACAGACCTCTCCCCTCCTGGCACACCAGCGTGGTTTTCCAACTGCCCACGGTGACCCACGTGGGGAAGCGTGTGCCCACCCCAAACGTGCCCATGTGGCACCAGACACATATGGCCAGATGTTCTCAGTTGATGATGCCTACCTAGCGGTGAAAAGGGGTGGTGGGTATTAAGTTTCACTGTTTTTAATTTGCATACATGAAGCCTCTGTTCCGTGTGGTCCCTAGACAAAAACGAAAGCCAGACCGTCTTCATCGTGGTGGGCGTGGTTTGTGCCTTGCTGGTGGCTCTGCTGATCGCAGCCCTCTACCTCCTCCGAATCCGACAGAAGAAAGGTGCGTGGATTTTCCTCTTCCTCCCCCAAGAATTTGCCCCCAGGCTGTCCTTCCCACAGGGAAAGGCCATGAGGAAGTCTGGTTTCTTCCACAAGGGACCCAGTGATGCTGGCCTAGCACCATCACCAAGCTGGAATGGGGGTGGGTCCCTCCCTCTGCTGGGTCCCTCCCTTAGCCTCACCTCATGGTTGCAAGATAGCCGTCCCTGCTCCAGACCTCACATCCTCAGGAGAATGCCACCGAGGTGGAAAGCAGGGAGACACCAGGGTGTGAAGAGGGCCTCACAAGGAAACGGTATTTGTCAGGAACCCCGGCATCCTTCTGCTTCCCTCTTACCTGTCCAGGTTACGTGTCCAGCCCCTAAGAAGGAGGCTGGGGCGGGGGGGGGGGATCATACCAGCACCTTCTCTAAGACCACCGGAAAAATTAAATGGATGATGTCACGTAAAATGTTAGAGGAGGTTGCCTGGCACACAGCAGGTGCTCAATAAATGTTAGCGCCTGTTGTCAGAGTTGTATGTTAGCCCATAACCATGAACCACCTTCCCGGGAAGCTGTCCTCACAGCAGCAAGGTGCACAGCCTTTGGCTTCCCAGCAGGAGGGTACAAGTTCAAATCTAGGATATCGTGCCCTTGTTTGAGTGCGTGCGTGTGTGTGTGTGTGTGTGTGTGTGTGTGTATGTGTAGTTATTGCTGTGACAAGGCCTCTGATTTTGGAGTCAGACAACTCAGGTTTCCAGACCTTTGTCATATGCTAGGGCTCTGAACACATCCTCAGACCTCAGAAAATGCAGGTCCTCTCTGCCCCTCTCGGAAGAGACCATTTCCAGCCAGTGTTTTTGACACTTACTGACTCCAAGTTATAGAAATACACTTCATATCTCAACCAAGCGCACCCCACACTCCTATAGATAAAATTGGAACTCTGATATTTTCTTTTCTGTCTTAGTCTATACTAAATTCTCTAAAATGCTGGTTGTGACCCACCATATGCCACAGACTGTGAAGTGCAAAGTGCTGTCCCGAGCTGCCTCTCTGCACCCAGACCCCTAGGCTGGGCTCACACATCTCCTCTGCACCCCCTCCCCTCCGGCCCCCAAATTCCCCACCTTCCTGGACTGGCTGGAAACACTTGGCTGTGAGTCCTGGCCAAGCTGTAGTTCCCCATCTGGGCATCTGGCATCTGGAAAGGTTTCCAGCAGGTAATCTACCCGGTGGTTTTTCCCTCAAGTCCAAGGAGAGCCTTCACACAGGAAGGGTGGCGAAGCCAGGGTCCACTGCCCAGTGAGGGTGGCAAGCCAGCCCATCCGGGAGCACCCAGGGATGGCCATTAGTGTGATCCCAGCCCCTGGGTGATGGGTCTCTTTGGGTGCAGAGCCCAGCTGTCACAGATAAGCTTGGTGACAGTGACAACTAACACCCCCTCAGTTCTCCTGATGTGCCAGGCATTGTTCTCACCACAGACTTCTGTAGTGGTGTTACTAACCCACTTCTACAGAAGAGGAAACTGAGGCACGGAGATGTTCTAAAACTTGCCCAGGGCCCCACAACTGGTAAGTGGTGGGGCCGGGATTCAATCCTGGTCAGTGGGACCCCAGCGATCCACTCTGCACATCATCTCTGCCCTAATGAGATGTCCCTTCTCATTGGTCCCTGGAGGGGTCTGCCCATCCTCTACTTCAGATCCTAGCTGTGAAATGTCCTGATTTCAGCTCTACTGCTTACCAGCTGTGTGCCCCCAGGGAGATGCCGAGTCTCTTTGGTGTAAAGTGAGTGATCGGTGTCCTGTCATTAGACTCCCTGAGACAACCCATGTCCTGGCACTTTGCAACCCATCAGTTTCATTCGGACATTGGATGCCGAGCTGCAGGTTTACCAACTGGTACCCAGTCCCCTAAAACTCCACCGCCTGCCCAGGCACCAGGCGTTCACCCAGCAGGGAGAATTCTTGCCTTGTGGCAGCCTCCAGCCTGTTGAAGCGCAGTGCAGAGCGCGTTTGGTGTGCAGGTTGCTTTTTAATTACAATTTCACAGTGGAATGGGAGTCCAAGAGTGGCCAAACCCCAGCAGCTTCTCTGTGGGATGCCCCATATCATAGGCTTAAAATCTCTGAACCAGATGGACCCTTTCCTCCCTCCTAAGATCCTTTTTCGGAAAGTGGTGACGTGAAAATAAATGGATGTCCAGCCCAACCCTGTGAGCTGGAGAGCTGAAATCCAAGCTCAAAGAGGGGAAGTGACCCACCAGGATCACAGTGAGTGAGCTGGAGGTGGACGTGGGATACGCACCTGCTCCCCCAACTCTAGTGCTACTGGAATCTGTCCTCCAGCAGTGAAGGGCCCTGGCTGGGACCCAGGCTCCTGTAGGGTCTCAGGTAAGGAGTGAGGCCCAGACAGAGGCAGGGCAGTTGGCCCCTCTTGGGCTGAAGGCTGCTTTGAGATCTGACCTTAGTAAACCCCAGAAGTTAGAAAGCAAGAAGGCCCAGTCTACTGGTCCTCCTGATGGAAGATGATGGGCCACCCCACTGGAGTGGACATGGGGGTTTCCTGTGGTTCAGAGGAGGCGATTTCAGCAATGCCTCACAGCCTCCCTGGAAGCAAACCTTTGCCCCACCGCACCCCCAAAAGAGTTACAGAAGAACAGTGTTTCTAGGTTAAATAACTGGTCTTTCTTCTTTTTTTCTTTTTCTCTTTCAGCCAAGGGCTCCACTTCTTCTACGAGGTAAGTGCACTGCTGGGCTAGGATGCCTCTGCAATGGTTCATTGGTTGTTGGTAGGTTGGCTGGTTGTGGGTTGGTTGGTTGGTTTGTTTGCTGTTGGTAGGTTGGTTGATTGGTGGTTGGTTGGTTGGTTGGTGGTCAGTTTTTGGTTGGTTAGCTGTTGGTTAGTCGGTTGGTGGTTGGTTGGTTGGTCGGTTGGTGGTTGGTTGGTTGGTTGGTTAGTTGTTGGTTCGTTGGTTGGTGGGTTGCTGGTTGGTTAACTATTGGTTGGTGGTTGGTTGGTTGGTGGGTTGTTGGTTAGCTATTGGTTGGTGGTTGGTTGGTCGGTTGTTGGTTGGTTAGTTGTTGGTTGGTGTTTGGTTGTTGGCCGGTTGTTGGTTGGTTCGCTATTGGTCGGTCAGTTGTTGGTTGGTTGTTCGGTTGTTGGTTGGTTAGTTGTTGGTTGGTTAGTGTTTGGTCGGTCGGTTGTTGGTTGGTTAGCTATTGGTTGGTTGTTGGTTGGTTGGTTGGTTGGTTGGTTGTTGGTTGGTTAGCTATTGGTTGTTTGTTGGTTGGTAGGTTGGTTGGTTGGTTGTTGGTTGGTTGGTTGGTTGGTGGTTGGTTGGTTGGTTAGTGGTTGGTTGGCAATGTCTAAAACCTGCAAAGCAGAGTCCACACCCACTGACACTCCTGTGCCAGGCAACCTTCCCATTTCTCTCCTTTGTCAGCTGCTCTGCCGGCTCTGTTTTTCATGATTGTCTCAAATGAGGGGATTTCTGCACACAGAGGCTCTGCTTTCCTGCCTGCTGTCCACAGACAGCGAGGCCTTTATCAAATCTCATCTGGGTGGAGGCAGAAAGCTGCTGCACACACAGCTCCCAGATCCAAGCTGGACACTTTGCTCTTGCCTTCATTCCTTCACTGTGTGTTGACTTCCTTGGCACGGGTGCCCCTGGGAACGCCTAGATACACAGGGTAGAAACCGTCTGCCCTCCTGGAGCCCAGGCCTGGTCAAAGGCTAAGGGTGACATTATGTCACAGATGGTACATTCGTTTGTTGGTTCATGTTTGCAGTGATTTTTGCTGAGTCCCTACTATGTGCCAGCTGTTCTGGGTGCTGGAGATACAACAGTGAGCAAGAATCCAGGCCTTCGTGGGGCTCAGACTCCAATGAGAGAAGCAAGCAATGTGGACTGTCATGCCAGGCAGTGACAAGTCAGGCCCAGCAAGGGGATGGAGATGAATGGTGGGAGCTAGTTTAGGCCGGGAGCAGGGGCCTGAGCCAGGGCGCTGTGAAGGAGGGCTGTCCCCGGGCTAGAGAGTGGACATGGACAAAGCAGGAGGGCCAGAGGAGGCCTGTGTGCTGGGGCAGAAGGAATGAAGAAGGGCAAGAGATGAGGCTAGGGAGATTCAAGTCCACGGCTTCAGCCCAAGGCCACGCAGCCAGGTTTGTTACTAATTCAGACTTTCAGCTTCTAAAGGAAAGCCCCTGATATTCACCCCCAGTGGAGAGATCCAGAGATCCCCATAATCTACCACTTGAATGTACCTGCATGGAAACAATAAATAAATTGCATGGGCATGCCCCGCACGGGCAATAAATAAAAGCCATAAATAGCTTCATGTTGGTTCAGGTCAGGTTTTACTAACAAATAGGTTGTGCAAATCTTTCTTTCTTTCTTTTTAAGAGCTTTGTGGATTTCCAAATGCAGAGCAGGAACTCGGGTTCTGGGGTGGAGGCCAATGGTCTAGGGTTTTACTCCCAGTGGGACGAGGAACCTTAGGAGGGAGACGGATCTGACGTTTGTTTTTAAAAGTGCCACCCTGACCACCGTGCGGGGATCAAGCTGTAGGAGCTGAGGGTGGAGGAGGCAGAGCAGCCTGGGAGGAGGCTGCTGCTGCGGTCCAAGCACATGATGGTGGCCTGGACCATAGCAGTGGGATGTTGAGAAATGGTCAGATTCTGGATATGTTTTGGAGGTTGAGTCAGGAGGGCTTGCTGATGGATTGCAGAGTCGAGGACAGTCCCAAGGTTGGAGGCAATGTGGGCGCTGAGTGTATGTGTGTGGTGAGAACACTCTTTTCCAAGGGTAAGACTTGAATTCTGTCCTTTGCCTGAAAACCTCCAGTGGCTCCCTATGGCCCTCAACATAATCCAGCCGCGCTACTGGGGCCCTCAGGCCCCCTGTGGTCTGGCCTCCACTAACTTGGACAGTTTCATTTCTGGCCACTCCCCATCCCTCGTGCTCAGTGACTCAGCCGGGCTGCACTCCCTTCACAGCCTCCCACACGCTGTGTCCTCGCTCCCCCTCTAGCCCTTGCGGGCTGGCCTCTTTCCCTGAGATGTGCTCAGGCGCCACCCAGGATCTGTGCTGCGCCAGAGGCCCCCGTGGTCACAAGGGGCTGTGTGAACAGCGCCCCCTGGAGATGTGCGATGCGGGAGCTCACCCTTTCATCTGCTTACCTTCTGCTCTTCCTCCGGGTTCTGCGAGGGCGTTACCATCCCCAGGGACAGGGGCCCCTCCTGTGAGCTCTCCTGGTGCCCCTGCAGAGACACCATGGTGCTGTATTCAAGCTGTCTCTGCGCTTGCCCCATGTTGTAACCCACGCCCCCGAGGGCGGGGAGCCTTTCCCTCTTGTTCCCTGCCAGTGACTGCTGAACTTGGCACCATGCCTGGAATGGAGTAGGTGCTCAGTTAAAGTGTGTTGAACGAACAGACGAATGAGTAATGAACGAATGCCAGCCCAAACCATGGCCCCAATCCCTATCCCCTCCTCCCCTGAATCCCTAAAACTCTCCTTCTCAAATGGCTTCACGGCCTCAGAGAAGGACTGCTCCTTTTTATTCTCTTTTTTTCTTATTGCTGTACTTATTTTTTACTTGTCCTATCTCCCCAATTAGACGATAAGTTCCCAAAAGAAAGGGGCAGTGTCGATAATAACAATAACAGCCTCAGCAGCAAACATTTATCAAGCACTTACTGCATTCCAGGAAGCGATCTATGCCTTTTCCTACAGCAGCCCGTTGGTGCTTTTAATTATAGCAAAAACCCTCTGATTTACAATCATCCCATTTTAATTGAACAGAGCTTCTCAAACTCAAGTGTGTGGCAGAACCTCCGAGATGGCTTGTTAGAACACAGATTACTGGGCACCCCCGCCCCAGACTTTCTGTTAGAATTTCCATTTCTAACGAGTTCCCAAGTGGTGCTGACGCTGCTGCCTCCAACCCTTTGAGAACCCTTCTTCTAGAGGGTCATTCTTGTCCGTGCGTGTGCTGGAAGAAACCGAGGCCCAGAGAAGCCGTGTGACATTCCCAGGGTCCCACAGCTAGCAGGTGCCAGCACCAAAGGCCAGCCCACATTCCTGATGCCGAAGCTCATGCTGCCCATCACTGCTCTCATGTTTTCCTTCCCCAAAGAAGCCAGCCGTTTTCTGCCTATTTTTTATTTTTCCAACGTGAACCTACCAAGGGAGCCGTGAGATTGCTTGCTCCCTTTCATCTCTCTAAACCAAAGCGATAGCTGGCGAGCGGCAATGGTGGTGCCCATGCAGCGCTGGCTTGTCGGCTGGCTGGGATCAGACACTTTCTGGAGGACGCTGGCATGGGTAACCACTGAGCACCTCGGGGAGGGTGCCGAGCAGGGAATGCCGCCGCTTTGAACTCAAAGGGCCCTTCAGATGGCAGCGCTGGGGAGGGACTGGGTATCTCTAACTCCCTGGGTTAGGAGCGTACAGGTAGAACATTGTCCGTAATCTTCTTCCCCAGCTCAGACGAGAGAGAAATATGTCTCCGCTCCCTTAATTGGGCACTGGGGTTCATTCGGTCGGCCATTTGTTCACTTGTCAGACATTCACTGCGTTTATTCTTGGAATATTTAGGGCTTCTCTGCTTCTTTCATTTATTCATCTGAATTGAGCCCAGCTCAGTGCCAGGCCTTAAGCTGGGGGATTGTGACGGAGAGCAAAAAAGACATTAGCCCTGGTCTCGTGGCCCCTTTGATTCCATGTTCATTCATTCATTCATTCAACAAATACCTGCAGTGTGCTGCCTGCACACGAGCTGGCACCGGGTGTCGGGGCTCCAGGGCAGAGCCCAGATCCATCAGGGAGCAGGTCACCGAGTAAGGTGGGTGGGAGGTTAATACACAATGCGATACAGGTGCCGACTGAATAAAATGTAGCTGGGCACAGAGCAGAGCAGGGGGTGGGGTGTGGCGGGCAGTCAGGGCAGGCTTGTCTAAAGAGGTGACATTTGGAAGGTAGCTGAAGGACAAGGAGGCTCCCGCCGCGGGAATATCTGGGGCAGGAGTGGACCCGGCAGAGGGAACAGCCAGTGCCAAGACCCCGAGGCAGGAGCAGTTGGTAAGGTTCATGGAACACGGAGGAGGTCAGAGCAGCTGGCCTGGAGCGGGCAAGGGGAAGAGATGAGGCCAGAGCATTCGGCGGGGGTGGGGTTGGGGGGGATCGTGTGGGCGCTCCATCCTGAATATAGACATGATCTCACTGTGTGCCGACAAGGGGTTGAGGGTTTTGAGCAGAAAATGATGTGACCTCACTTGGGCCTTTTCCATGTGGAGAACGGCATGCCGAGGGGTGGAAACAGAAGCTGGGGCGCCAGCGAGGAGGCTCTTGAGGAATCTAGGGAGCTAGGACGGTGGAGGAGCCTGAGTGGCCGGGTTTGATGCACATTTTGGAAGCGGAGTCAACAAGCATTGCGATGGGTTAACATGCGTTGTAAAGGAAGACAGAGGAGAACCAGGGATGCTTCCCACTTCTGAAGCCTGAACATAGGGACGGGGAATAGCAGTGCCATTCGCAGACACAGGAGAGCCAGACACAGCAAAATGGATAATTACCTCCAGTCTGCTCTGAAAGAGAGGGGCCCCCTGTTCTAAGAACGGAGTCTGGTGTTTGGTGAAGGTTTCCCTGAGAAAGGACTGTTTGAAACCAAGTCTGAGGGAAGAGAAGCAGTGAAGCAAATGAAGAGGCAAGGAGGGCTGCATGTGCAAAGGCCCTGGGGCAGTCTCTCTTCATTCTAAGTCACTTTAGAGCTGAGGAAGCATGGCAGGCAGGCGGCAGGCAGATGCATATGCCAGATAGGAAAATAGGCAAGGGGGCTTGAGGCTGTCGCAGAGGAGCCGTCCAGTCAGTCCAGCAGTGTCAGGGAAGCTTTTCCAAGGAGGTGACGCCACAGTTGAGTCTTGACGAATGCACAAAAGTTCACCAAGAGACAAAGCGGTGGAGGGCAGCTTTCCAGGTTGTTGACGCAAAGTGCATCTCATCAACTAACCCTCAGGAGGCATTTAGTGGGTGGATAAGTGGGTAAATAGGGTCAGGAGTGTGAATGGGCCTGGGGAAGTCAGCAGAGGCCAGGCCGTGCAGGGCTGGTGAGCAGGGTGATGAGTTTTACATGGACCAGAGGCAGCCAGTGGGGGGGGGGGGGGGGGGGGGGGGGGGGGGGGGGGGGGGGGGGGGGGGGGGGGGGGGGGGGGGGGGGGGGGGGGGGGGGGGGGGGGGGGGGGGGGGGCGCCTGGAAGGATTGGAAGCTGTCGGGGTGTGGATAGACCTTCGTGATCTTCCTCCGCAGCCATGCCCCTGCTCCCAAAGGGCTGTTTCTGTGGCCACGTGGGGCTTGTCATGCCCCAGAACTGCTTTCTGAGCCAAGACCTCATGCCAAATCCATTAATAACCCTGCTGCCAAGCCCCATTGCTCATTTCTGACATTATCCAGGCTAACATCCCTGGAGGTGCCGGCCCGAGAACTTACACACTCCTGCAGAACCTGCAGCTTTGGTTTGCTCACCACTTTGACCATGACCCTGCAGTGAGCCAAGCCATGGCCTCCAATTACAGAATCAAGTACATGAACGGCTTCTTTGATTAACCAGGACACTGTTCCTTCTCTTTTTTTCAATGCTAAGACCTAGATGTGTAGCATAGGGACCATGTGGAAAATCTGGGAACGAAATGGAAGGAAAAAAAAACCTCCCGAAAAGGTTAGCATTTTACTATGTTTCCTTCCCGTGTGATCCACACAATTCTGTAGGATGGAGATCATTCCAGAGAATGTTGCCTTTTTGCTTATCATGTTAACATCACTTGTAATTAAAAAAAAAAAAAAAAGCCCTCCTCATAAACCTTTTAAGTTCTTATCTATGAATCTATCCTGATTTCCTTAACCAGTTCCAACTGGCAGGACTATAACAAGCAAACCTTCTTCCCGATCCTGCTCTGTGGCGACTGCCTCTGTGCAGAGAGCTTTTTCTATATTTTGAATTCTCCCGAAAAAATGAGCACTTATGAGTCAAGAGATGAGGACACCTTCCAAGCTCCTGATCTTGCCAAGCTGCCTTTGTGGGCTTGCCCTTCCCGTCAGCGTTACACGAACTTGTCTGTTTCACCAGACCTCCCCCAGCACCTTGAAGGTCCTTGCTGGGAAAGGCAGGTTTCAGGAAAAAAAAAAAGCGCCTTGCTGAAAGTTCCTTTTTAGTGAGATCGACCCTCTTGTCCAAACATTTGATAAGCAGTTGTGTGTCTGTTGTGACTTGCTCCACCCATATAGGAAATAGAACCGAAATGTTCTTCTTACCAATTTGCATGAGCACTGGAGATAGTGAGGGTATTTTTATCTGTGTGTCTCTTTCCTTTTAGGTTGCATGAGCCCGAGAAGAACACCAGAGAAATAACCCAGGTACAGTCCTTGGTGAGATGCCCTTCCTGGGACTCTCACCGGCACGATCTCCTTGCATCAACCAGACTTGCAGATCCTGTTCTAAATTAAGCCTCCTGCCCCAGAGTAGGGGAGGGGGGTGGAGGCAAGGGTGGGGAGAGTGGGGGATGCTCAAATTCCTCTTTCCCTCCCCTTGTCCTCTGTCACAGCCGGGAGAGTGTCACTGCCTCCTTGACCCAGTGCGCCCAGTGCACAACTCCAGGGGGCACTGCTCACGGTTAGTTCACCGATTGCCTCGTGCAAGGGCGTGCTCCCTTTCTGGCACTTTCTCTGCAACACTGCTGAGGCGATTTCGTGGGCAACGTTAGTTGGCCTGATTCCGAGAGACCTGGCCCTGCTTCTCACGGGCTGACGCCATCAGACCTTGGAGGCAGAGGGCTCCTCTGCCTCTTGTAACGAGACAGGCCCAGCCCTGAACCCGCCATGAGAGAGCGCCAGCTGCCCTTGACAATTCCCGGGCTGTTGTCCTCATTTCAGATGTAGTCTGTTGCACGGAGTCGAGCTGTTGAAAGCCACGGTGTTTTGTAAGCCCAAACTGTGGCCTGCTCTCCTGATCCGGGGACAGCCCCCTCCCCCCCGGTGGCCCTGGGCACAAGCCCGAGGGGTCATTAAAAACCAAGGCCTTCTCCCCAGTCATCTGTACCTCCGGACTTCTCTCTAGAACTTTCAGGGGGAAAGGATGATGGGGAGAGGTGGTTCCTGAAACCTGCACAGAATTCACAACCAGCCAGCCGCTTCCTGAGCACCTACTGTGTGCCAGGCCCTGGGCAGTGAGCGAGGCAGCCACAGCCGGCCCTCATGGAACATATTACAGCCTTGGGTCTCGAATCCCCAATGCCAGGTGCCAGCCCCTCCCTGCCAGGGAGGGACTTTAATGCTGTGGCGGTGGGCTTCCCAGAGAGAAGGGCTGTGTGGTGAGACCACAGCTCTTGGGTCCAACAGACTTTGGATCCTTTCCAGCTGTGTGACTTTGACCAAGTTATTTAACCTCTCTGGGCTTCAGTTTCTTCACTTGTAAAGTGGGGTAGGGTGTTCCTGGACACAGGCTGAGAATGGGCTCAGATAAGGTGATCCCTGTGATAGCACCGAGCTATAAGCCTTTTGGGAGCTGAGCTCATGGGGATTACCATTCACCAGTGAGGGGCCATGGTAGTGCACCCCACCCCCTGCTTCTACAGTACGGGTGCCGGGCCCAGAAGAAGCGAAGTTTGTCATTCATGATGAGTAATTGTAAGGCAGCTGTTGTGAGTGGTCGGATTAGCACATGGGAGACGTTCAGATTCGCTAGGCGGTCGATGATCACTCGCATTTATCGAACGCACGGGTTCGCTTGATGTGTGCCAGGCTCCCTTCTGTGTTCTTTTCCTGGGTGATCATGTCTGAGCCTCACAGGGACCCTGGAAATAGACACTATTATAGCCCCGCGTCCCAGATGGGGAAACTGAGGCCCAGGGAGGTTTAAGTGAATTGCCCATAGGCCCTCGGCAAGACAGAGCCGCACCAGGACTGAAACCCCAGGCTCCTTACCGTGCCTGCTGCCTGGGGTCTCCTTGCACGCCCCTGTTCTCGGTCTCCCAGACCCCAGCTTCACCCTAGTGAAGCTGAAATTGCTATCCATTCTTTTGTCTGTGCATTCATCCATTCAACACATTCATGCTTCAATGCCAGCCTTGGGTTCTGCATTATAACAAATACCTAGTGAATATGCATTGAATGAACCAATACATGGATGAGTATCTCCGCCCCCCAGGGGCTGGCATCCACTCAGACCCCCAGACAGAGTCAGTCCTGGGCAGTGGGTGCTGTAATTGAGGAACATGGCTTGAGGAAGCCCAGAGCAAGAACCTGAGCGCCAGCTACGGGGAGGGTCTTAGGTCGAAGCGATGCATGTGCTGAAAGGTACGGGGTGGACTGGGGGGTCATTACGAGGAGAAGGGGGTGGGACACCAGGCAGAGGGAAGGACCCTGAAGCTACAGAACAGAACTTGGGGTGGGGGGACAGTGAGGCAGCACTGTGAGGTAACCCCCGCTGGTATTTAGGAAGCTCCTTTGGGCTGTGTGAGGATTAGAAGGGTAAGTCCGGAGGCGGTGACCTGGGCCAGAGAAGAGGGGGCCACGAACTAGGGCTGAGACAGTGGGGCCTGAGGGGAGACGGAAGCACCCAGCCTCGGTGCTGCCGGGTGGAGGAGAGGCAGGGGCCTCCAAAGCGCACTTCTCTCCCCCGCATTTAGATCCAGGACAACAATGACATCACCTACGCAGACTTGAACCTGCCCAAGGGGAAGAAGGCTGCGCCTCGGGCCGCCGAGCCCAACAACCACACAGAGTACGCCAGCATTCAGACCGGCCCGCCGCCCGCGCCGGAGGACACCCTCACCTACGCTGACCTGGACATGGTCCACCTCAACCGGGCCCCCAAGCAGCCAGCACCCAAGCCCGAGCCATCCTACTCGGAGTACGCCAGCGTCCAGGTCCAGAGGAAGTGAGTGGGACCGCGGTTGTCTCTAGCATCTGTCCCCGAGAGCCTTCCCGTACCGTGCTGGACAGCCGTGATGGGGACAGCCAGCCCAGGCCCCCGAGGGCCGGGATGGTGCAGGCCCCGGAACTCCAGGATGAGGCTGGCTCTTGTCTCCCCAACCCACGGGGCTCTCCGGCATCCCCAGGGCAGCCACAGCCCCCCCACATCACCACACACGGAGGCTGATGTTGCCAGACTAGCCAGGGGACCCGCCTGGGAACCGGCTGGAACCCCTGGAGGCCAAGAACCCTCACGCCTGTCTCCATCAACACGTGGGTCTCGGTCAAGGTCTTGGAGACCCTGATTGCCCCCTCATTGTAGCCTGATCTTCCAGGGTGAGGAGGGAGGAAACCCCACCTCCTTTTACCACCACCCAACTGGGGCTTGGGGGAAGATTCTCCCTTTAGATCGAACTGCCCCATCCACGGAGAAGCTGGAAAAAAAAATAATAACTTGCTGGGACCCTAATCCCAAGACTTGGTGAGCATCTGTCCCCGAGAGCCTTCCCAAGAAGGCTGCCAAGAGTCCTAGCCTCCCCATTTCTGGACTGATGAGGCACCAGCCCTGGGGGAGGGGAGGATCCTCCGAGGAACCCCCACACGACCACCAACCACCACCACCAAGGACTGAGTAACAAAACTCCCCCTCCTCCTGGTGGCCCTCCGAGACTCCTTGAGGACCCGTCATCCCAACCGTGACGCTCCGCACGGCCCCTCCTCTCCTTCCTAAACCTGAGCTTGCTTCCTCCAGCTAGCACTAACTCAGCAGCATCTCGCCGTGGACGCCTGTAAATTATTGAGAAATGTGAAATGTGCAATCTTGAACCTGAGGTGTTAGAAAATTTGATCTGTGGTGTTTCGTTTTGTTTTTTTTTCTTAAAACGACAGCAATGTTATCTTGGCTCTTTGTCATGTGTTGAAGTACCTGGTTGGGTCTTGTGCAGTCTAAGGTTTACCAGTTGGTTGTCCTGGAGGGACCCCCTTGCAGCGGAAACTGAGCCCCTCCATGCCCCAGACCCTGCGGACGGGGAGGAAGGTGGCCGTGTGGCTGTTCTACGCAGATGCTTAGCCTTCCCTCCAGGACAAAATTGGTCACGTTCTCAGCCAAGCCACGGGTTTGGTTCTGCTGCCTTCGGTTCCTCCGGCTTGCTAAATCCAGACCCGCTCAGGGCTCCTCCAGGCTGGTCCCTCACAGTGCAGGCTTGTCAAGACCTGAGGCCTCAGTCTTCTCATCCAGAAAGAGGGGAGAGGAAAGATGTCCCCTGCTCCATGCAGGAGAGGGAAGCTATGCCTATCTGTTTCCCCCGCCCCTTAGCGACTACCCCATTCCAGCTCTCTGAGCTGATCCCTGCAGGAGGAATCTTCTCTTTTCTGCTCTCAAACCCTTTGGGGATCAAACTGGAATAAATCCAAAGCAGCCAGGAGGCCTGGGCAGCTGTGAAGCCAGGACTGACCCTCCTTCTGTCCCCCGTCTCAGGAGGGCTGGGCAGATGCCGTGACCTGTTACCCTGACCCCCACCCTTCCAACTGGGGGGGGCCTGGCTGGGCCCAGGGCCAGCAAACATGGCAAGCCCTGTTGATTCGGTCTGCACGCATAAGTCTTAGAGCTGAGAGATTAATCTTCGTCGCCCTCCTGGGCCCAGCCATCCATCGGATGCCCCTGGGATTCCAGCCCATCAGAACAAGAAGCTGAGCGACCTTGACCATCAGCAGGTCCTACACGTGGAACACCAGGAGCTCCGCTCAGACCCAGTTCTTTGGGGACAGAGATTTGGCATTTTACACGATGGCATCCAGGGATCAGCTGAGCCAACCGGCCATGTGGGCAGCTTTGGCCGACGAGGCAGTGTTTCTCCGTGACATCTGGGAGCACAGTGACCCAGCCACCTGGCTCGGGCCGCTTCCAAATTCTGAAAGGTTGGCTTGTAAACCTTAGTCTCCCTCTCTTCGGCCCAGAGAAGGCGCATATGTGCTTGAGCGTGCACACACGTACACACACACACACACACACACACGCACAGAATTTCAAGAGCGTTTTCTTGGTGCCATTTTCATTTTACTTTGTCTTGAATTTTGGAAGGGGAGCAAGGGAATGAGGCCAAGGAAGTCGTGCAGCTTCAGCTCCGGCCTGGCAGCCTGGAGATTCCCATACCTTGTGTATCGAACCCCAGGAAAAGGAAGAGGTCGAAACAACACTACGGAAGGAGCGTGGTTTCGGGAGTTTATTTTTAGACTGCTAGGAAGGAAACAGGCCCCATTTTGTATATAGTTGCAACTTAAACTTTTTGGCTTGCAAAATATTTTTGTAATAAAGATTTCTGGGTAACAACGACCCCTTTGGGTGTCGACTGTCTTTGTCTTTGTGAGTGTGGCCCCCTCCATCGTCCTCAAGAGCCTGGGAGAGGATCGGGTGTGGCCCCCGGGGCTTGGAGACCCCAGGGTTTGAGCCTCCCTCTGGGGTTTCTAGACACGAAGACTTTGTTTCCCCCGATGCAGAGGGAGGTGGCGGAAGGTTGTGCCCCAGACATCTGTGTAAGCAGAATTCCGACAGACAGCCACCAGTGCGTCCTAGGTCTGCCACTTTGCAGAGTTGAAACAGCTTACCTCCCGGAGACTCGGGGTGGGGGGAGGGACACAAGGAGGGACAGTCCTACCCGCAGGCAGTGTTCCCGTGGGGATTGAAGGGGGCCAGGGTGCTCGGCACGTGTCAGGCCTTCGTTGAAATGTTGGTCTTTCCTTCCCGCCCTAGACATTGCACAGCTGGGACCAAGTGCCCCTCCCCACCTGTGGGGTCTCAGGCGAGTGGGTCACCACCTTCTGGGAGCCTCACTTCCCCCTCGACTGAATGCAGAAACCCAGCACGGGGCCTTAAATATCCTTGCCAAATGATTCATGTTAAGTGTTAGCATGTAATAGGTGCTCACTAAATGTTGGCTTCCCTACCTCTCCCCCATTAGAATATTAATAATATTATGACAATTGTATAATGATGGCTATATGATATTGACCATAAGGAGTGCTTACTGTGGTTCAGGACTCTATGTTGATTAGCTCCTTCAAACCTCACAACCAGAGCAAGGTAATATCATTGACTTCTTGTAATAGGTAAGAAGTAGCGTAATTTAGGTAGGGTCACACAGCTAATGAGTGAGGTCACTGGGACTCAAACTCTGATCCTCTGACCTCAGTGCCCAGCCTCTAACCCCCGAGTCCACAACTGTTAACAGTCATGTACTGGCGCTGACCGTGCACTGTGGTAAGTCACATGCCTGCCAGGGGCTTCACAGTCATTACCTCTTATAATCCTCCAACCACCATAGGAGGTTGGAACTCATATCATCCCCATTTTATAGATGCATAAACTGAGCCAGAGAGAAGTTAATTCATTTCCCCAGTGTCCCATGGCAGAGCCCAGCCTTGAACCCAGGGAGCCTGGCTCTTCCTCACCACATCGTACTGCTTCGTTCAATTCTCAAAGCTGTCGGCAGGGCTTGTGCCCATTTTGCAGGGAAGGAAGGTTGAGGCTCGGGAAATGCATGGGACCTGGAGAGCCCACGCAAATGAACCCGTAGTCGAGTTGGGACTTTGCGCCGGGATCCACAGGCCCACATGGGGTCTTCCCGAGCTCTTGGCCTGAGATATGTGTTTGGGGATCTAAGACACTTAAGGCAAAGAGCCTCCCGCAGGGTGTGAAGAAGTCACCTTCCTCACAGGCCGGGACCTTGGCTGTGGCAGATAACTCAGCTCTCAGCCTCCCCCGGGGCCCAACCTGGAAAATATGTGTGCTGCTTGCGGGGATGAGGTGTTCAAGGCATGCATCCAGGCAGAGTGGGCGGGGAAGTTCCACCTGTTTTCTGGGAAGGTGAGGGGATGACGGACTGCATGTCCAGGCAGAGAGACTTGGGGGATGTATTTTATGCAGCACCTGGGCCTTGCTTCTCCGAGGCCCAAATCTCCGGGGCTGTGGGCTGGCCGGCGAGATGCAAGCTGATAGGAGCCAAGTGACCCTCTTCCTGCCCGCCAGGAAATCAGTCAAGCATCTGGCATTTATCTCTGGAAAAGAGAACCACAGGACACCGCCGCCCTCCTCCAGCCCCCCAACCCACCCCTCCACGTGAGGACCCAGAGGCCATTTGCAGCCCCCCCTCTTAATCATCATCAGGAAAATCCCTGCCTTCTCCACAAGATTCTAATGCCCAACTGTGAAAACTCTGCGTGCTCTAGCATATTCTCACCAGCCAAAATTTGACCCAGGTTTGTTTATTTAATTTTTATATATGCTCTTTTTACGTTTCCATCTCCTATGCTCTGTATAAATATTAACTTATTTAAAATCAACTCAGTCCATCCCTTTAACAAACCTTAAAGTAGGTACTATGATTATCATCTGTTTAATAAAGACACTGAAGCACAGAGAGATTGCACGTCTTGTTCAAGGGCCGCCTGCCATCCGGGAAGTGGCGTCCCTGTGGGCGCACGTGGGCACGAGACGGGCGCCACAGGGCTGGGGGCTGCTGGAGGTCTAGAGTCTGCTAGAGATTCTCTCTCTCTCCCTCTGCCCCTCCCCACTCACCCATGCATGAACTCTCTCTTTCTTTCAAAAGGAATAAACATTAAAAAAAAAATTTAGGGGCGCCTGGGTGGCTTAGTCGGTTGAGCGTCCGACTTTCGCTCAGGTCATGGGTTCGTGGGTTCGAGCCCCGCGTCGGGCTCTGTGCTGACTGCCAGCTCAGAGCCTGGAGCCTGTTTCAGTCTGTGACTCCCTCCCTCTCTGACCCTCCCCTGCTCACGCTGTCTCTCTCTCTCTCTCCTAGAAATTAAAAAAAAAATTAAAAAAATTTTTTTAAAAATTTAGAAAATGCTTTCCAAAAAGACGTGTGTCCCCGATGTTCAATAACAGGCAAAACCTTGGGAACAGGGGTCTGGGGGTGTGGACAACCCTGGCAGGGGGGCAGTGACGGGGAGGAGTGTGAGGAGCCCCCGGGTGACAGATGTCCCGTAGCTCCATGTGAGTGGTGCTCTGTGGGGGCCTGTGACACGAAATCCATCAAGTGCACATTGGACACGCCTGCATTTTCCCGTGTAGAAGTTATACCTCAAAAGAGACCGGTGCCCTGTCTCCCGGGGATTCAGCCCGACCTGGTTACCTGCCCCGACCTGACAGCCCTGGAGCCCGGCCCAGGGCCGGGCCCAGGTGACAGCTCCGGGAACACAGAGAGATTTGACCAACAGAGCAAGCAGAACAGGAAAATGAAAAGTGCAGCCTTTCCAGGACAAGCCATTTATCCGTCATCGCTCTGTCTGCAGAGGCTGCCTCACTGCCTCGCCCCTGCCCGCTCCCTCCTCCTCCCACCACCCGGGCCGACGCAGGCGGGGGCTGCTGTAGTCCTCACCCTGTGACCTTGGGCAAGCGGCCTCACCTCCCAGCCTCTGTTTGTTCTCCTGGGAAATGGGATGGACTCTTCACCTGCAGGTTCTAGTGAAGGTGAAATAGAGAACAGATCTGAGACCTTTCGCAACAGCGTGGGGCAGACAGCAGTCAATGCACACTCACATTCACACTCACATACAGACACGCTCACATGCTCACACCCCCACCCCTGCAGGCGTTCACACACAGTCACACTCACACACGTAACTCGTGTTGGGAACCACACAGTTCACACCCACACCCCCCTTACACACATCCCCTTATCTACACACCCACACTCGTCTACATGCACACCCACACACTCCTCACACACAGTCACACTCACCTCCCAGACACACTGCTCACACATCCATTCACACCCACACGCCAACACCAGGTTCTCAGAGGAGCTCAACAACGGTGGGTCTCCCCTCCTGGCTGAACTAATTTTACCAGGTCCCTCCCTCCCTCTTTAGTCTGGCATGGCCCTCTCTTACCAACTTTGGTGAATCCAATGCCCCGCCTGGCCTTAAGGGTCCTCTTCCTCACACCCCACCTGACCTCTTTAAAGACACTTCCTGCTCCCCCTGGGTCTGGACTAGACTCTCTGGCCAGGCTAGTCCCACCAGGTACCAGGTGTGGCTCCCTTTGACAGAAATGGCCCCACGCTAAGTCACCCTGTCTCCCGCCTCCCCCGCAACCAGACCACGAGCCCCCCAACACCAGACTCACTTCCTGCCTTAGAAATCCAGCCCCTGGGAGAACGGAGACTGAAGGCCACCATGTGCCAGAGAGGGGCCCGCCCGGGCACCGGAATTCTTCATTTCACTGAATTTTGTTTTTTTAATTCCTCCAAAGATGGGTGCTATGAGGTCCATTTCACAGATAAGAAAATTGAGGCTCAGCGAGGTGAAGAGACAAGATCACTCCTTCAGCCAGTCATTACCCCTCCAGCTCCCACTGTGAGCCCGCCCAGCAAACCTCCAGGGAAACCAAGCCAACTGAAGCTAGGCCACGCCCTGACGAGCTCATGGGATGTGAGGGAGCCAGAGCATCTGGACGAGGGGGTGTCTGTGTGTAATTTTCAAGAAGTTACAAAACCCGATGGATGCCGATACAGAATAGCAAAGCCGAACACTGCTCCACCCCTTGTAGAACGAGCGGTACCTTCAGGGGGCCTTTTAAAACTGCCCCAGCAGGGCAATGAAAGAAAGTTCCACCTTCTTTGCCTTATTTCCGACTACCGGACACTTTTTCTTACTAGGAGTAAGTTCACAGGCCTCACTCAGTGTGCACAGGGCAATAAAGGCTTTCAAAGAGGAAACCCTGAGCTGAGGCCTAAAAGATGAGTAAGAATGAACCAGATAAAAAGGATGCGAAGGAGCCAGGGCTGCGCAGAAGCAATCCTTTCCCGCGAGGGCTGGCCCCTGCCGAACACCACTGCCCCGTCTGGCAGCAGTCTCCCCATCACTCCTTGCACTGGCAACACTAGCCTCCTGACGGGTCCTGGAATGAATCACAGGGCCTTTGCACATGCTACTCGCTGTGCCCGGAACACCTGCCGGGTCTATTTCTTGCTTGTCCTCCAATCCAAACACTGGGCGAGTTCCCTTGTTAACCACCGTTGCAAGCCTGCCCAGGACCTCTGTTTGTAATGCTTGTCAGTGTTTGTAGCTAGGTCCTGACTGTGTGATCCCTTGATTAATATCCCCCTCCTCCGCTGCCCTGGGAGCTGCCTCAGGGCACAGAGGGTGCTGGCTATGCCCACCTGTATAACTCCTGAGTCTAGTCTGTGTGATGAACCCAATAAATAGGGAAGGAAGGAGGGAGGGAGGATGAGTGGGTGGTTGGATGTGTTCACGGAAGGAAGGATGGGTGGGTGGCAAGGCAGGGAGGGAGGGAGGAAAGGAGAGCATGTAGAA